ACCCAGGATACAAGGGGGCACTGGCTCCTCCATGGCCTTACACAGGAAGGAGGGGGCCACCACCTCCTCCATAGCCTTACCCAGGATGCAAGGGGGCACTGCCCACTCCGTGGCCTCACAGTTAACAGCTTCTACAAATAACAAGAGGAAGCGTAGGGCAGTTTGGATAAGCACAGCACTCAGAAGCTGCCTCCACTGGGCAAAGGACGCACTAGATAAGAAACTCTGTCATTGCATATGAATGCAGACTTTGCTTGAGTAAAAATATAAAGTGCTGGGTGGGGTAATTTGAGTAAATTTCTTAATTCATGATGAGCATTGTGCAATTGGTGAATCGTGAATATCATCTATATTTAGAAATATTTTTAAATCTATATGTACAATTATGAAAATTATGGAAGTTTGTCTTCTTATGTTTTTCTCAAAAATTATTATGGATAAAGAAGTCAATTCTGGCATAAGTCGGTCCCGCATATTTAGGCTGATGGATGGGAAACCTGGCACCAGTAATAGGAAGGAGCCTTACATGCTTGAAATGCCCTTAGACACCTGAAGTTATGACCCACTTTGGAGCAAAATTTGGACACATATGGGCCCTGACCCTGTGGGAGTGGGTTATCAGGACCCACGCCCTTTTGCATATCTGAGTGTTATCTGCAGGAAGCCTGCTTTCTTTAATATGAAAACTACACCACCTTTGACACATCACGTTTGTTTGTTTTGCTAGTAGGCATTTTGCTTATAGGAAATGTGCCATTCATAAGGATGTATTTTATATCTGTGAAATGACAAAAGCACCAGTCTCAAAAACAAAGTTTTTCTTTGGGCAGAAATTAGTCATTGAATTTCCCAGGCTAACACGACTTTCTCTTAGTACCATGCAAGCCTGCACCAGGGAGGGTGTTTCCTCGTCCTGGAACTGAAGCTGAGAAGGTGGAGGGAGGACAGGGGTTCTGTATGTCATCTCTCCTCAGGGCTCTCCCGTGGACAGCTCTGTATAAGGGACAAACGGAACGGGCTCACTGCTGCTGTAGGACAGTCTGCACAAACCTGGCAGCGGGTACAGACCGTCCCTCCCCATCACACCGTCCCTCCCCATCACACCTTCCCTCCCCATCACACCATCCCTCCTCCAACACCAGCCTGGGCATAGAGTGGGCAGCGGCTGCCCGGACACGGCGCCCGCCACTCACTCAAGGCAAAGTGACTCGCTCCAATATCCAGCTTTCACACTGAACCTGAAATACCATAATTTCTATGATTCAGCATTGTTTTGCCTGCCACTAAGAGGAAAAACATTGCCAGTTCTACATGGAAGATATGATTTATTGATTGTAGTCAGAGAGGATTTATGTGGTAGAGAAATCAGAAGTGAGGCTCAGAGACAGCAGGATGGTTCACAGGGCAGTGCTCACCTTACTGGCACACGGCTTGAACGGTCACCACCTGCAGCTGGGGGAGCCTGGTAACTGTCAGGGGAATAAGTTATGGTCTGTTTACCTGTCCACTCAGGGCACGGGACGCTCTGTGCCCAGAGTACGGGAGGAGGCCCTGGGCTGCCCTTAACAATACTGACTACTTTACGGTCAGTGAAGACCATGAGCTGATACTGGACTAGAAGCTGGGTGTGGAGCAAACCCAGGAAAGACCATCAGGAAATTCTCTCTGTTACAAATTTTACTCCTTTCTAAAATTAAATAGATATGGAAAATATAGACACACATACACACTCACATATAAAGTGATCTTTGGCTCCCTCTGCTGAAACAGAAGTGATCCATTTTAAACTATTTTTAAATAGCATAAAATTGAAAGATCCCTTCGGCCCCTGCAGCATGCCAAGTACCATGCTGGGTTTGAGGGACCTAAAGATTTGTGAGGCAAGTTGACTGGCTACTAGGGAAGTGGATAAACCCAGGTGTTTGCGACAGTCTCTAGTAGTGATGGGAAAACCTGCAAAGGGACACAGAGTTGCTGGGAGCTTGGAAGCCCTGGGATAGTCGGTGTCCCCAGGACCAGGACCCCAGCTGGACCTGGGGATGCACCAAAGTGGAGGGGTGTGGAGCTCCCGTGGAGTGTGGGCCGAGCAGACGTGGTCGTTGCTGCTGTTTGTCCTCCCAAAGAGAAGAGGAGCGCACAGTGGACGCCAAGCCCATCGTGTGGCCTGGGTAACGGCTCTTAGGAAGGGAGAGATTGGTCTGTGGGAGGCGTAGGGCCAGGCTAGGAAGCTGCAGGGGGAAAGGGGACAGCACCCAAGGAGCCCCTCCCCATCCTGCTGGAGGGCAGTTGCCTCACTTCTTGACTCACTCCTCTTCCAGAAATTACCCTGTTCAGGGACATGACAGGAGCTAAGGAGCATTGGCACAGCACTGGTTGTAACCCAAAAAAGCCGCTGCGAACAAGCTTCAAGGTCATCCTCCCACACTGCTGCCAGTCAGTAAACGACGAGTGGCCGTGGGCCCTGTGCTGACATGAGTCCCCCCAGAGTCCTCCTTCCCTGGAAATCCCAGGAGCAGCTCAGGACCCGCAGAGTGCCTTTTCTGTAAGGACAAGGAGAGGCAGGTGCATGGCATGACTGTGATCACCCTAATGGGCACAGATACCGTGCAAAGAACACAGAAGCGGCTGGGAGGCCCGACTGCCCCCTCCCGGAAGGGGAAGGAGCTGAGGGATGCCCGGGGCGCAGGATGTGGTCACCTCTTGCCATCCAGGACTTTGAACTTGCTGTCATGTCAAAGCAGGATGCAGAAAAGTAATCAAGTGGAATTGATGGCAGAAATGCAAAGAAATGGAACCACATCTACTCCTGCACTTGTGATTAGGCAATGCACTGAACGTTTAAACTCGAAAATAAGTTCCCACTGTCTCTAGGACCCCCCCTACAACTGCCCAGAAGGGAGGCCTGGGGGACAGGGAAGAAACTGGGGTCTTCTGAGGGTGCCAGTCCCCACAGGAGTCCCCGCCATGGGCTGCCTCCCTTTACACAGGGGCACCCCCAGACATTAGGTTCATTTTCTGGCCTAAAGGGGCTCATTCTCCATTCTCCATCAATGTGGCCATGACTGGCTCGCCACCAGCCGGGGGTGGAGGTGAGGAAGGGAGGCCAAGTGCCACTTCTGCCCCACAGAGTCACGTGCTATCCAGAGCTCAGAGGCCAGCCCTGGAATGAATAGGGTGGTGGGTAGCTAATTTGTTTAACCCAGACTGATGTCCCATTTCTCTTATATGAAAATATATCAACTGTACCAAGAGAATGCTGGGGGTGGGGGGCTTAGGCAGAGAAAGCAAGCCGGAATTCAGACCTTCTGCAGAAAATCTACCCCAGACTCAGGGACTCTCACACTAGAAAGTGTTTTTTTCCTTGGGACCATGGCATTTTATTATGAAAATAAAATTAAAACTTCAAAGACAAAATGATCCTAAAACATACATCAATAAAAGAATAATATAAAAACTTGAAAACTGGCAATGTAAAAAGTAATGTGAAAACTCCAAAAATAGTTCATAAGGGTAGTGTTTTTCTTGACTTGTTAGCCTTAAATTTAATTTGAAGGTAAACATAAATAGAAAAACATATTTATTGACTTCTCATTTAATCCACAGTTTAGAATTAAATCATCAGTATCAACTGTACCTATAAAAACATCAACAAGTGAGATGCTCACACACCCATGGCAGAGTTTCGCCAGAGTAGGGGCATCCGTCCCGTAACACATAAGGTCAACAGACTCATGAGTTAAATATGCGTCTCAAGGCCCCAGACTCAAAACCAACATGAGTTAACTATAACTCACTTGGCAGTTAATGTGTTAAACAAAGAGTTTTTCTTACCTTGAAGACAAGTGTGAGACTATGATTAGCTGATAAAAAATTTAAGAGGAAAAAGATGCATGATAATTATTTTGTTGATAAAACACTTCATCCTAAGAAAAAGTTTTATTGTGGTTTTTTTTTTTCCCAGGATGCTGAAACTAACAGAGGAGAATCTGAAAAAAAGAGACACCTCAGTGGATTTTCCCAAGCGGCCTCGGAGGACAGCGACGTGTTTGGTAGGTGGCACATGCTGGGCAGTGCTGGCCAGGTGGTGGCGGGTGCGTCCTCACCGGGGAAGCGTTTGACGCTGTAACTGTGGACCTGCTCCCGGCATTAATAAGCGCGACCGTGGGGATGTGCAGCACAGGCCCTGCCCACCTCCCGCCTCCCCTCCCCACCTGACCCCCACATCTGCTCCGGCCTTGATTTTGGTTTCGATTTGCAGGCCTTCTTTTCCACACAGACCCCTAACACTTCCTAAGTTTTTCTTGATGTGTAGTATTTCTCTTATCAGCTATTTGTCCATTTATGTGTGGGAATCAGAAAGCCTAATAATGTCAGTAAAAATGAGGAAATTAAACTGCGTGGGTGATTCAGAAGCATTGGGAGATCACTGTCGTCTGCAAAATTTTACTATTTTGTATTATTTTCCTAAATTGCCTTTATTTTACATATTGCTATGGTTTGAATGTGGCCCCTAAATTCCATGTGTTAGAAACTTGATCCCAGATTTATACATTTGCTGGAGCCATTTTACCTGGTGACATGAGGGGAAGAGGTCATTTTAAGGCACAGTGGCCTACGGAGCCTGTGCCGTGTGGGCCTCGGGGCACCGAGTGGCTGTGTTGCAGGCCAGGGCAGAGGCTTTCTGACCCCCACGACCCCACGCACTGCACCCACCATCCTTGTCATCTGAAAACCAGGCAAGAAGACAGAGTTAGTGTCCAGCCCTGCCCCTTTTGGAGCTCACTGACCAGCGGGCTGAGACAAAGGCCGTGGTTTGATGGAGGGAGGGAGGGCTTAGGGATCGTAAGTCAGACTGACAAAGACAGGAGCCAAAGAGAGAGGGCGCCACTGCTCGTGGGAATGGCAGCAGCTCCTCCCAGCCCAGAGGACGCAGAGGCAGTGGGCCTGCAGGGTGGGCACTCACCCCTCACATGTGAGCCAGTGCACTCGACAGGTGTCCCAGGGGAAGGACACTTTCGTCCTGCCGTGGAGGTACAGCCCTCCTGCTTCTGTGCAGAGCATGTCACGGGGCTGAATCTTACAGAGGAGTCCTGAAGGAAACACCTGCTAGTTCATTGCTCCAACAATGGAGGTTGAATCAACTGTGCTTAGCTTTCGCCCTCAAGTACGTGTGTATTTACTCATTTATTTCACAAAATTTGAATTAGCTGTCAGTAGGAGAACATACCCAGAAACCCCCAAAAAGCTGTGAAGTCCAGATCAGGGAAGGCCATCCGTATGCGACCGGGTAACAGCTGCTGTAACTTCACGGTTCACTCCAAGCTTCTCTGGGAAAGGGGGACTCGAGCAGTTTAAATTGTATCATTTTACATAGGAGGTGGCACAGCTCCACCACCTTCTAGCTGTGTAGCTTTCCGCAATTTGCTCATCTTTTTGTGTCTTGGTTTCCTCGTACATGAGGATGAAATACACCTACCTGTGTGGGGTCAGTCATGAGTTCTTGCATCTGTGCTGAGGACCCTCCCATCTCCCAGTGAGTTCTTGGTGAATATTAGCTCTTATTTTCAGGAAGAAGTTTGCAAAGATGTTTCAAATTCAGTGATTAGTTTCGTACGCTATTTATTATGATAAACTTCAGGAAAAGCCAGTCACACAACATAAATCTTCAGTATTGAAATGCAGGATAATGCAGACCCACGTACATCCTTCCAAGGGCTGATACAATTGTGGACAGAATGCAAAGTGTGTAGAGTCACTTTCCAGAACTAGGTCTTAGGCACCGGGCACACAGAGCTCCCAGTCCCGGGCTCCGAGAGAGCTGGCATTCTGTGCTGCAGCTGCCACTGCGGGTGACCCGGAACAAGACAGAGTCTTCTGGGGAGATATGTAACTGGGACTGCCGGCCCAGCCATCAGCTTCCGTGGAACCAGGCCCTGTTGCTCTGTTCCTGTTCCAGCCTCCACTAGACAGTGCACCCTGCCCACCTGCAAGCATCATCTCAAGGGTTCAGTGAAAGAACAGTTATTTTCTAGGACCCAATAACATTTGTCCTGTATACATACCTTAAAGTATTCTAACAAGCAGCAAGTGCGACCGTTTATTAGAATGTCTGTGTGCCAGTGATGACCTGAGTGACAGTGTCAAGGTTTGTTAGAATGTCTATGTGCCAGTGATGACCTGAGTGACAATGTCAAGGTTTCCCTCATCGCTGGCACATAGGAGGCTCCACCTAAATTAATTTCATGGGTATGACTTAAAATAGTATAGCTATGTGCCAGTGAGATTTTGGTACAGATAGGTTAAATATTTCGTTATTCACTGAATCTTTTCTGAGACCGCAGATGAGCCAGGCATCCTCTTGGAGGTGGACAGCCAGATGACCAGCAGTGGTCCTGGGGACACCACACCCTGTGTGGATGCTTTACTGTAGCAGGACACAGAAGCAGCATATTTTTTTCTTTCTTTTTTTCAAGCACTGGAATAATGTTCTAATGCTGTAAAATAGAAATGAATGATGTAAAAAGATGCATTCTGAGTGAATGGAAAATATTCAAATGAAGATATGTAGATTAGGAGGTACCCTGTGGAAGGGCCCGGAATGCTTTCAACAGCTGCGTAACATCCACTATGAGAGCCGAATCGTCCCTAACAGACCCGCCCTGCTGATTTTCCTTTTGGTTGCTACAAACCTTGCTCCCAGTCTCCCTTTGATCTGTGTGGAGTTTGTCCTCATTTTATCAGGTTATCGGGTGGAACTGAGTAGGGTGGCTAACCAGAGTGCTGTGCCCTTCCGGGGGAGTGTCCCCGTGACGTGGCCTCAGGAGGCCGGAGCTGGCACTGCTGGCGGGACTCAGCCCTCAGGCGGGTTTTGTTATGTCCTCACGGTGGAAGGTTTTTCTTTTAATTTTGGTGACATTTAGAAAGGTTTCCTGTGAGAACATGGAAGGCAGCTGTCTGGGAGCTGGGAATACCCGCAGTGGTTTCCTCCCAGCTGGTGGCTGGCATGGAGGAGCTGAGTTTCCAGGGCGTCAGGACCTGCGACTGTGTCTCTCACTGAAAGACCCATTGGAGCCCACAGGCCAGGAGCTTGTGACTTGCTCTCTGAGCCATGAGAGGCTGAGACTCTGGCGCCGTTCCAGTGCCCCTGGCTGTAAACCAAGTCCCTCACAACCACGTTACCTAAAGCAATGCTATTTCTTTTGCTCACAAACTCACCATATGTGCCTGGCAGGGCTGGAACAGCTCATCCTGTTCCTGGGGGCAGGGCCCACTCGTGCTTGGGGCTGGAATCTTCTGGAGCCCCCTCCCTCCCATGGCATTGGCCGCCCCAGCCAGGCTGCCAGCCAGAGTGTCCCCTGGCCACCCTCCAGGCACCAAGTGTGGGTCCCTAGGTGAGTGCTTGAGCACTGGCAGGTCACAGCCTCATGGGCTCAGCATCAGTCCCCCCACCGCACTCACTGTGACTGGCCCTGGCCTTCACAAATAAAATGTTCTGCTCAGGGTCACTCGGGGTCATCAGAGCTACAATGGGACAGCTGAAAGATGCTTGAAACAAAGCAGAGATACAAGGCGCACAATGGTACGAATAGCAGATGTGATGGGCTCTGGCCAGTGCAGTGGCCGCAGAGCCCAGCCTGAGACCAGGGAGGCTCAGAGTCCTCCTAGCTCAGGGCATCCAGCCCCGGGGACCCCTCACCATAAAAGCGCCTGCATTTGTTTTCCACGGAAAGAGATGCTATTTCAGACACACACACCCTTTCCCCGCACCCTGCCTGGCTCCTTACCAGACATGGGAGTTCCGGTGTGTGGCTGGGGGTGACCTCAGTTCCTCCCTCCTACAGGCCAACTGAGGGAGGAGCAGGCTCAGGGGCACAGCCTCAGGCAGAGCAGCACACACTCACACACAGACACATGCACTCACCCACAGACACATGCATTCACACTCAGACACACACTCACACACAGCCACATGCACTCACACACGCATTCACACTCAGACACGCACTCACACACAGACACACACTCTCACATGCAGACATGCTCGCAATGCAGACATGCACTCACACACACAGACACATGCATTCACACTCAGACACGCTCTCAAACACAGACACACTCTCACATGCAGACATGCTCTCAATGCAGACATGCACTAACATACACAGACACATGCATTCACATTCAGACACACTCTCATACACAGACACGCACTCACAGACATGCACTCTCACATGCAGGCATGCTCTCAACGCAGACACGCACTCACACACAGACACATGTATTCACACTCAGACACATGCACTTACACTCAGACACACGCTCTCACACACAGACATACAGACACAGACACACAGTGCTCACACACTCACATGTGCTGGCATGTACCCACACACACACCTTTCTACACCCACACATTTTTCCAGCTGACTCTTCCTCCACTTTCAATCATGTTTCAGGAGTTGGCCACAATGTTTCTAAGATGCCTTGTCTTTCACTGGTTCCCATGAGGAAAAGCAGGTTCCTATGATCCCCAGGTGCACCCTGAGGAGGTGGCCTTGCTTTTGCCAGAAACATTTTAGCCTCAACATTGAGTAAATTGAAGAAACAAAGTATTTTTTAAAAAGGAACGGGAAGCACCATGCCATGAGGCCATCCCAGCATACGAGGGACGGGCTGAACCCCTGCCCTCCACCTTCACGCAGGCTGGAGCAGGCTGTTCTCTGCCCATCCTCATGTAGGCTGGAGCAGGCCACTCTCTGCCCTCTGCCCTCACACATACAGGCTGGAGCAGGCTGCTCTCTGCCCACCCTCATGTAGGCTGGA